TGCTGGGAGGGTCTTGTCGCAGGCTGGTCATTTCGACAGACACCACCCTCACGGGCTGGGGCGCGGTCATGGACGGCCGCTTTGCAAGGGGATCCTGGCAGGTGCATCAATCTGAGTGGCATATCAACTGTCTCGAGATGTTGGCGGTGTTCCAGGCTCTAAGGAGTTTCCTGCCCGATCTCCAAGGCCACCACGTCCTGGTTTGTTCCGACAACACAGCGGTGGTGGCCTATCTGAATCACCAGGGCGGTCTGCGCTCGTGCCCTCTGTACAGACTGGCGCGTCAGATCCTCCTGTGGTCCCAGCAGAGGTTACTATCGCTCAGGGCGATGTATCTCCCGGGGACGCAGAATCAGGGAGCAGACCTGCTGTCGAGGCAGGGGCTGAGGCCCGGGGAATGGAGACTTCACCCCGAAGTGGTGGAGCTCTTGTGCGAAGAGTTCGGCCCCATAGACGTGGATCTGTTTGCGTCTCAAGAGACTACGCACTGCCCGCTATGGTTTTCTCTCGTTCCTCCAGCCCCGTTGGGTCTGGACGCCATGGTACATTCGTGGCCGAGGCTACGTCTGTACGCTTTTCCCCCAGTCGCTCTGCTCCGGGGGGTTCTGGAGCGGGTCTGCCAGGACAATGTTGGCCTACTGCTCGTAACCCCGTTCTGGCCAACCCGGGTGTGGTTCTCGGACATCATGTCGCTCCTGGACGGCCCGCCGTGGCGGGTCCCTCTGAGGAGAGACCCGCTGTCCCAGGCGTCCCTACACTTGGTGTAGGGAGCGGTCAGTGGACCCTGTTACCTGCCCGGTGGTTCAGGTACTTGAGTTCCTCCAGGACCGGTTCTCTGCTGGTCTTTCCCCTTCCACCCTCAAGATGTACGTGGCAGCTATTTCGTCTTTCCACACCCCTCTGAGGGAGGGGTCCTTGGGGAAACTTCCCTTGGTTGTACGTTTCCTCCGTGGTGCCCGGAGGATGAGACCTGCGACTCGGTCCAAGGTTCCCACTTGGGATCTGGCAGTGGTTCTTGGGGCGTTGGCTGAGGCCACCTTCGAACCCCTGGAGTCAGCTGAGGCTAAGCACTTGACCCTCAAGATGGCCTTTCTCCTTGCTATCACCTCTCTGAGGAGGGTGGGGGATCTCCAAGCGCTTTTGGTTTCCCCGCAAAGCCTGGAGTTTGCCCCGGGGAATATTAGGGCTATCCTGCACCCTCGTCCAGGATACATCCCTAAAGTGCCTTCTTGTGCGGCGGGGTTTTCGGCACGGTTTAGTGGGTATCTTGTTCCCATAGTGTCGCAGTTCGAGTTCCCTCGAAGGGGAACGTCTCGGGTTACGAATGTAACCCTGGTTCCCTGAGAAGGGGAACGAGACACTGCGTCGGCCCGCCGCACCTCTCTCCCCGCCTGAAGCGCCTGCTTCATAGTTTAAGGTAATGATGAGTGTTTACAGGTGTGCTTTATACTCCTCCGGTTATTCCGTCACACCTTACTGTTCTTCACCTCACCTCACCGACGCAGTGTCTCGTTCCCCTTCTCGGGGAACCAGGGTTACATACGTAACCCGAGACGTTCTCATAGAATTTGTATTTGTTATTTAGCCTAACATTTCTTGTTGCAAGCTAATTTTCAGAAAACCTTTAGCAAATGCTTTCAAAAAGTGGTGGGGACATGTCCCCAGTGTAAATCACACCTATGTGATTACACCTTCGTAACCCTCATTTCAAGTTGAAAAGCTGTTTCCCCATCGATGGTCAATGTTTGTTTTGCTGCATAAATGTCCCACGATATTAATTGTGACATCACTGCATGCATGGAAACGTGCAGAGAGAGGGTGAGAGAGAAAGAGAGAAAAGGTGCTGCAGAAATATAATTTTTAATAGGCCCAATAAAAAAATTGTGCACTGAATTTTCCTGCCTTTTTAACACCGTTGTGTTTACAAACCTGTTGCAGCTGACTGGGTAACACCTGAGACACGCCCACCAAACGGCAGAAAACATACCTCATTGCACAAGGAAACATGTTGTTCAATCCGAAAATGTTGCAAACCAGTGCAAAATATTTTGAGATTGAACTCGCCCATGTTGTTGCCTGCTGGCGAAGTCATTTCTGCAGGTGCAGGACCCCAAGCAGATCTGACAACCTGAGCACATCTGGTACCTACACCAGACCCTTCTCCTGGAATGCGCGAGTTTCATTTCATGCACACGCGTATTGAGCGCGTATGAGTACGTGTTCACGCGCTACGTGGTTATCATTTCCATGCTGCAGTTTCTAACTGTTGCACGTTGGCGTTAATCAAGCTTAAAAAAATAGTTTTATTTCACACTAATATTTTTCAGACAAAGTCTGGCAAGCTACCAGGACACAGACAGACCACCAAGCACCACCCAGCTGAGTTAGCAGGACAGACTGGTTATACAGATTCACTGCAGCTAGACATGAACCAGCTCACATCAGACTTTCAGAGGAGAGTTTATCTAAATGCTGTTCCCAAAAATAATTGTCATTGAGATATTTTCTCTTCTTGCGCACAGAAGTCCCTGTTTGTCCTCTCATGCCCCGCTTTCAACATTGACTCGTTTTTTTTCTTATCTTTGTCTAGCTGACATACCACTTCACATTAACCACTAGTTTTATTTTGAAAGTATAACTGGACGTTGCATAAAAATGAATATTTTCTTGACGGGATGTTGCAGCTGCAGCCAATTGTTGCTAACTTGACTGCTGAGCCCTACACGTCCAAAAACGACATCAACGTGTCTTGACAATTTTGCTGGGGCACATCACATGGATACAGGGGCACGTGCCCCAGGAAAAAGGGTCTAGTGACACCTATAGAGATACAGCGACAAATACAGGCGGTACTCACAAATGCCTGTTTGTGTCAAATGTTAGGAAGATATTCACAAATGCTTTTCAACAATTTATAAATTAAAACTAGACTCACAAATGCCTGTTTCAAAGCTGTAAATGTTAGGAAGATATTCACAAATGTGGTTAATTTATTTGTAAACTAAAAAATATATTCACAGATTTATTGATTTATTTGTGGAATTTGTTTGTGTATTTGCAGATCTGTCTTATATTTGCAAAAAATTTTTTAAAGTTTACAAATCTTCAATTTGTGTTTGTGGAAAGTATTTTATATTTACAGATTACACATTTACACACAGGTCAGTCATCTGTTCACAAATAATACTGAAACAAAATGATCTCCATAGAGACCTGACTGGTGTTATTATACTGTATAGTGTGTGTGTGTGTGTGTGTGTTACTTCTTGTTCTTCTTGTGTTCTGAGCTCACAGTCAGTGTTACTGTTTTGCCTCTCAGACTGACTGAAGTCCAGAAGATGAATGTTGAAAAGGAGGACAGAGCAGAGTCTGCAGGATCCTCCACTAAATGTAATTCTACAGACTTCAGTAATGAACCTGGACCCTCAGACACAAAGTAAGAGAACTGCTACTAGTACCGTGGTTGTCAAACATTTCACGCCCCTCTTTGAAACCTGAACAAAGCTCAAGCCCTCCGACGCCAACAAAAGTGGATTTAAATTTGATCAATTATTAACAATATGGATGATTGAAATAAAATAAAAGATTCAAGTTAGCAAAAAGACTTGTTTACAAGCTATTTTTTTGTTCATGCCACCAAATTAATCACATTTATGCAACTTTAGTTCTGCTCAGCATCCATGAGCCCACCCAACAGTTTGAGAACCACTGTACAAACTCATTCAGTGTTTGCTGGTAATGTTTTCCCGTTTGCCAAATGTAGAGTAAAATTATGCTTCATGTTTAGATAGTTTTTATATCATGTCTACACTTACCTCTGTCTCTGTCTGTCTGTCTCTCTCTCTCTCAATTCAAATTAGCTTTATTGGCATGATTGCATAACAACAGTATTGCCAAAGCTACAAATAAATTACATAAGAACAATTAATTTCAAACATATCATTAAATTACACAATAAAACAGTAAAAGTTGTGTTTGTGTGTTAAAATTAAATAATAATAAAAATATATAAAATAAAAAAATATTAATAAATATAATATAAATATTAAAAATAAAAGATAACAGTAAGCGTGTGTTTGTGTGTGTTAGAAAATGAAAATTATATATTAAATTAAAATAAATAAAACAGTAAGTGGGTGTGTGTGTGTGTTTGTTAAAATTAAATTTTTTTTTAAATAAAATAAATAAATTAAACAGTAATGTGTGTCTGTATGTGTATTAATAGACAAAAAATTTAAATTAAGTAATTATTTTTTTAAAAGACAACCAAAAGATCAGTATCAAATGTGTAATTTAAAAACAAAATACAAATAAAGGGACAATTACTAAAATATCAAACAATTAAAATAATAATAATTTGAAAATTTGTCTGAATTTCCCCTGGTCAGTTTGTGGCATGAGGAGATATATTTAGCAGCAATTATTTGACATTTGGACATTTCTCCCAGTAAATAAGGGAGTTTCTGTGTCTGATATAAATTTGAATTCAGGGTATATTGTTGTCTTTTTCTCTTAAGGTTTTATATTTAGGGAGTGAGGTTAGAAAGTGCAGGTCTGTCTCTACCTGTCCCCTGTCACACTGGAAGCAGAGTCTCTCTTCTTGTGGTAGTCAGCTCTGTCTGTGGCGACCCTTTTCTATGGTCAGGCTGTGTTCACTCAGTCTGCATGCTGTCAACATACCTTTAATGTGTCATGGAAAATGTAATACAAATGTTCTTAATATAATTACTAAAATTTTTGCCACAAAGAGAAATCATTGGTGCTATCCTCCTCTTAGTATTTGTGACAGCTGTCGGTCTCCTATAGAAGCTGTAATCTGATCTAAGAGGACTAACACAAACTTTTAAACGTCATACTTATTGACAGCAGCAGCAGTTTTGTGTTTAGAGCTTCCTAAATGGCTTCATCAGAGAATTTATCAAGGATTCATGTGATATGAATAAAAACATCTTGGTGTTTGCAGAGTTCAGTCCAACAGACAGAGAGCAGAGTCTGCAGGAACCAGCTGTCTGTGTATGGACACTGACTGGTCCAATGATCTTCCTATAGACTTAAGTGATGAACCTGGACCCTCAGACACAAAGTATGTGTCACAGTTTGTCGTGGCGAGCAGGTTGTAGGACCCAAATGCGTGACACGGATAGTGCAGGTATGGTTCAAGGGGTTTTAATAAACAAACAAAAGGCGAGCTCACTTGCAGTGGCTGAATCCAAAATCCAAAATACACACACAGTCCAAGAAAACAAAGGTTATACAACAGAATAATCCGGAATGAGTGTAAATCCAAAAACTGAGCAACAAGCAAGACGAGACTAAGCAGACAATGCACAGTAGCACAAGTTATACAAGGTAACAGGAGATAATGACCCGACAAAGACAAGACAGAAACACCAGGTATACACACACACACACACACACACACACACACACACACACACACACAGGGACTAACGAGCAGGGTGGGAGCAACACAGGTGAGGAGCATGAGTCTAACGAGGCAGACAGAGAGACAGCAGGGAAACCGACGGAACACAGGTTGCAGAACACATAACAGACCAGAGGATAAACTAATAAAGACACAGATCACCACATATATAACAGATACTGGACACCAGTCACTAGACAGGACAGAACCCAAAACTCAACATACTATAAGACAGATAATAAACTAAACTCAAAAGTACAAAACAAGGTATGGCTGACAGGCAGAGTGTGACAGTATGAGACAGTTTTTACTGTAAACTGACCTGATGGAAGATGATGCATTGAGGATGAAGACAAAATGTTCTGCTAACAGATTTATATTCCTGATGCAGAACTATTAGTGCAGATACTGTTTCAAACTAAGATGGATCTGATTTGATTTCTGGAGCAAAACACCTGAGAACCTCCATTTCAGAATTTACACTTCAAGAACATCTTCATATATTTTTGCCCTCACGTTGACGTCACTGTAAAGATTTAGAAGGATTCAGAATCTGAAAGAATCTGCTTCAAATGTGTCCTTCATTTTCTCCTATTTGTCCTCTAAACACTGAGCTGTTTGGCTCTTCCTCAGATCAGCTGTTCTGATCCACCAGATGCATCTTGAATCACTTCAGATCATAATTGTGCAACATGTGGTGAAAAAGCATTTGTAGTTCAGCTTTGCTCACCTTGATGAACACTTTGCTTTGAATCATTAGTAAGTGGAGCTTTGAGCTCAGATTCTCTCCACCATATATTGTTCCTAAAGGTGAAGAACAAACATCCACGGGCAGCACTGATGGAAAAGTTAGCAGTGGATGGAAAAAGGGTCGAAAATGGTCACATGGAGACACGTTTCTTTTTTAGAATATTTGACTAAAAGTAACGACACTTTTACTGTTCTCTGTGACCATCTGAGCTTCTACACAGTGTCGGCCAAATCTGGATATTTTTCAACAACAAGCAACAAATCATTTTAGTTCTAAAGAAATGTCTTCACAGAGAGAGGAAGAGGAGTCATGTTTCTGTGGAGGAGCAGCCGTCCTGCTGTGCTTTGTGTCAGGACGTCCTGAAGGATCCAGTCTCTACCAGCTGTGGACACTGGTTCTGCAGACGGTGCATCACCTCATACTGGGACCAGTCTGCTTCATCAGGACACTCCTCCTGTCCCCAGTGTGGAGAAAGAACCAGAGCTGGACTGCAGACAGCCAGTCAGAGCAGCTCTGTACAAAGTAAGACTGGACATCTGTCTGCTTCTTCAGATATTCTGATATTGATGGTTTTTATATTAGTAATGAAAATAATCAGCACAGATTCTTTGTTTTATCTCACATTGTTTCTCTTCTTTAGTGAGAGGTGGTCTGCAGGAGGTTTTAGATGAACATAAGATCAGTCTGAGGAGGAGATGTGAACGTGTGACTGAAGGAAGTGATGAAACAGGAAGTGGAACCCTCCTCAACAGGATCTACACTGAGCTCTACATCACAGAGGGACAGAGTGAAGAGGTTAATACCCAGCATGAGGTGAGGCAGCTTGAGACAGCTTCCAAGAAGAAGACCCTCCATGACACTCCAATCAGGTGCCAGGACATCTTTAAAGCCTTACCTGGCCAACAGAGAGCCATCAGAGTGGTTCTGACCAACGGCGTCGCTGGCGTTGGAAAAACCTTCTCGGTGCAGAAGTTCACTCTGGACTGGGCAGAGGGCTCGGAAAACCAAGATGTCGGTCTGCTGGTTCTGCTCTCGTTCAGGGAGCTGAACTTGATCAAAGATGAGCGGCACAGTCTCCTCACGCTGCTCCATGTTTTCCATCCAACATTACAGAAGGTCCCAGCAGAGAAGCTCGCTGTCTGGAAACTGTTGTTCATCTTTGACGGCCTGGATGAAAGCAGACTTTCATTGGATTTCCACAACAGTGAGGTTGTGTCTGATGTCACACAGAAGTCATCAGTCAACCTGCTGCTGACAAACCTCATCGAGGGGAATCTGCTTCCCTCGGCTCTCGTCTGGATAACTTCCCGACCTGCGGCGGCCAATCAGATCCCTCCATCGTGTGTCGGCAGGGTAACAGAAGTACGAGGCTTCACTGACGCCCAGAAGGAGGAATACTTCAGGAGGAGAGTCCGTGATGAAGAGCTGTCCAGCAGAATCATCTCACACATCAAGACCTCCAGGAGCCTCCACATCATGTGTCTAATCCCAGTCTTCTGCTGGATCACTGCTACAGTTCTGGAGCACATGTTGACTACAGAGCAGAGAGGAGAGCTGCCCAAGACCCTGACTGACCTGTACTCACACTTCCTGCTGGTTCAGATAAAGAGGAAGAAGCAGAAGTACGATGAGGGACATGAGACGAGTCCACAGGAGCTGACGGAGGCTGACAGGGAGGTTCTTCTGAAGCTGGGGAGGCTGGCGTTTGAACAGCTGGAGAAAGGAGACATCATGTTCTACCAAGAAGACCTGGAGCAGTGTGGTCTTGATGTCACAGAGGCCTCGGTGTACTCAGGAGTTTGTACAGAGATCTTCAAAAGAGAGAGTGTGATCTTCCAGAAAACCGTCTACTGCTTTGTTCATCTGAGCGTTCAGGAGTTTCTGGCTGCAGTCTACATGTTCCACTGTTACACCAGCAGCAACACAGAGGGACTGGAGGACTTCCTGGGGGAAGACTGGAAACACAAAGAGTTAAAGCCTAAAGACATGCACTACAAAACCTACCACCCATCCCTGCTTAGAAATTTATCCCTGGATAGTGATAGTGACAATGATTCATCCCTGGATGTCTTTCTGAGGAGAGCCATGCAGAAATCCCTTGAAAGTAAAAATGGCCACCTGGACCTGTTTGTTCGCTTCCTTCATGGCCTCTCTCTGGAGTCCAACCAGAGACTCTTAGGAGGCCTGCTGGGTTGGACAGACAACAGTCCAGAAATCATCCAGAGAGCCATCAATAACCTGAAGAAGATGACCAGTAATAAGATCTCTCCTGACAGAAGCATCAACATCTTCCACTGTCTGACGGAGATGAACGACCACTCAGTACATCAGGAGATCCAAGAGTTCCTGAAGTCAGAGAACAGATCAGAGAAGGAACTCTCTGAGATCCACTGCTCAGCTCTGGCCTACATGCTGCAGATGTCAGAGGAGGTTCTGGATGAGTTGGACCTGAAGAAGTACAACACATCAGAGGAGGGACGACTGAGACTGATTCCAGCTGTGAGGAACTGCAGAAAGGCTCGGTAAGTCCAGATGTAAAAAATAAAACAGAAAAGAGGAAGTCAGCACACAAAATCTTGCAAGCTCACAAAAAATGTAATCATGCACCTACCTACAGTCCTCCAAAATGCAGTGTGACTGTGGAGGATAGTAACAGAGGTCTGATGAATATATCAGAGCAGAATGATAGACTTCAGACTAATTTTACACAACAAAGGTCAATGTCAGGTTTTCATAGTACCAATATGTGAAAACAAAGCAACTTTGTGGGTTTGTTTATTGCAAGTGTATGCTGACAATAAATGTCATCCAGTCATACACATCTATAAATGTAACCACAAAAGATGTCTGTAAACAATAGTAAATTGTATTGAAAAGCTGCATTATTGGGGTCAAATTAAATTGAAAACAGTAAAAATGTTTTTCTAAACAAGATAGCTTTATTCTGACTCAATTGCATCTCTGATCGGATCACATTGAGAGCATTATAGAAACCTAAATGTAACTATATTTCTCATCCTTCATCTGCAAGATTAAAGAAAAACAAAAATGAAAAGTGTGCAGGTATGACAGAGAGAGTGATGAGAATTACAGTTTCCTGTCAAACACAGTGAGATAAGATTAGTTGAACCACTGATGTGAAGAGAGGGTCAGTGGTGGTGGTGGTGGGTTAGTGAGCGTGTATAGGAAAAATCTTAAATGTCATCAAGTATGCTGTGATGAATTTAACTCCTTTGAAGTTCTCACTCTTAAAGTTGGAGGGCTGCATCATATTTGTTATAATTTATCACCCCCCAAAACCGCCTGGAGGATTTTTATCAGAACTTCCTGAATTTTTATCTACTCAGGTTTTAAATCATGACAGAATTGTTCTTTGTGGCGATTTTAATATTCATGTTGATGACCCCAACAATTTTAATGCAACTAACTTTTTAAATATGGACGATTCTTTTAACTTCAAACAACATGTCAAAGGGCAAACACATAACCGTGGTCATACACTGGACTTGGTTTTTACCCTGGGTGTCAGCATTTCCTCTGTGGAATTAGTGGACATGACCATATCTGACCATAGATGTATTGTTTTTAGCTGCGATTCGCCTGTTACTCATGCCGCCTCACCAAGCTCCGTGTGTTCTCGTATCTTTAATGAACAAAGTGTTTCAAAGTTTGGTGCATTCTTTCAGAGCCAAAGCCAACACCTGTCTGATTTCAACACCAACAATCTGGTCGATCACTTCAATCATATCTGCTTGTCGTCACTAAATATTACTGCTCCTCTAAAGGTTAGGCCTACGTCTAAAGCTAGTAAGCAACCCTGGATAAGTGACAGCATTCGCAGCCTAAAAAGGGAATGCAGGAAAGCAGAGCGCAGATGGAAAAAATCCAGTCTCCAAGTCCATTACCTCAGTCTGAAGGATTTATTAATTAACTACAATAACATGGTTAAGGATGCGAGAACACACTATTTTTCTGAACTCATTACTACACATAAACACAATCCCAGGTTTCTGTTTAAGACTGTGGATCGGCTGGTAAACCCAACCCCTCCTTGTGCCTCAGCTGGAAGTAATGATGACTGTGAATTGTTTTTATCTTATTTTACCAATAAGGTGGTGTCAATCAGAGCCTCTATTACCCCCGCGGCCTCTTACTCAGAGGTTCCTCACCAGCAACAAGAGAGTTTTAACCAGTTTTATCCCATCGACTTGTCTGAGCTTTTAAAAACAGTATCACAAATGAGAGTGTCCTCCAGTCCACTTGATGTAATGCCTACAAAGTTTTTACTGAAAGTAATGGATTCTGTTGGGCCACATTTGAGCTCCCTATCTACTGGTTGTGTCCCTGAGAATTTTAAAACAGCTTGCGTGACCCCACTTTTAAAGAAACCTTGTTTCCCTCCATCAAAATTTTAGACCAATTTCAAAACTGCCTTTTATTGCAAAGATTCTAGAAAGAATTGTGTCCAAACAGCTGCTCACTGTATCGTGTCTGTAAACAACAATGTCTATTTGTTCTGTCTAGTTAAATATGGTGTGCCTCAGGGGTCGGTCTTAGGACCCATTTTGTTTTCCTTGTATCTGATTCCCCTTCGACATATTATCCACAAACATGGTATTTCTTTTCATATTTATGCCGATGACACACAAATGTACTTGCTCGTCAGATCCACAGACCCTGGATTGCTGAGTTCACTTAACAACTGCCTTTGTGAAGTAAAAAAATGGATGTCAAATAGTTCCTCCAGCTGAACTCAGACAAAACAGAAATCCTGGTCATTGGGTCCCAGCAGATGGCAAAACAAATACTGCCATCTGCTGCTTCCCTAGTAAATCACATTAAGCCTGTTGCAAAGAACCTTGGTGTCTGTTTTGATAGTAATTTAAATTTTGAGCAGCACACCACAAAGCTTATTCAATCATGTTTTTATCAACTTAGAAATATAGCAAAAATTCGATCTATGTTAACTTTTAAGGACACCGAGACCATTTTACACGCCTTCATCTCATCATGCCTGGATTTTTGCAACAGCCTTTTCACTTGTTTAACCCAAAAATCTACTGATCGACTCCAGACTGTTCAGAACTCAGCTGCCAGGCTTTTAACCAGAACAACGAAATATGACCACATTACTCCTATTTTAGCTTCATTACACTGGCTCCCAGTATGTTTTAGAATTGACTTTAAACTTTTTATTGATCATTTTTAAAGCTCTTCATGGCCTCTCGCCTTGTTATATTTCTGACCTTTTAGTCCCATACGAACCAGCACGTACCTTGAGATCCTCGGGCAGAGGTCTGTTGTCTGTTCCAGAGTCTCGACTGAAAACTGTAGGGGACAGAGCGTTTTCTGTCAGGGCCCCGAGGCTCTGGAACAGCCTGCCCGAAGAAATCAGGTCGGCTGAGTCAGTGAACTCTTTTAAGTCCCTTCTTAAAACACACTTTTATAGGAGAGTCTTTCCCGATCTTATTTAACTGTATTTTATCCCTTTTATTTTATTCTATTTTACTTATTTTATATTTATCTTAAATGCGTATTTTAGTCTTTTCAATGTTTTCTTGCTTTTATCTTGTATTGTTTCTGTATTATTGTTTTTTGGGTAAGCAGTTTGTAACTTGTTTTTGAAAAGTGCTCTACAAATAAAAAGATTGTATGAGAGGAAACGTTCAACAGAACAAGATATGTCAAACTGTTTTGTCATCAAATGCATGAAGTGAATATAAACTCTCCTCTTTCATAATAACAGATTGTGAAATTTATGTGTCGTGACAGACTTTCTGACTGTGGACTCTCAGAGACTCACTGTGAAGTTTTGGCCTCAGCTCTGAAGTCCAATCCCTCCCATCTGAGAGAGCTGGACCTGAGTAAGAACAAACTGCAGGATTCAGGAGTGGAGCTGCTGTCTACTGGACTGGAGAGTCCAAACTGTAGACTGGAGACTCTGAGGTCAGTTCACTGACTTTAAGGAAAAGTAGAGAAATGAAAAGTTTGACAGGACAGTTTTTCAGCTTTCACAGACTCACATTGTCATCTATCAGTCAGCGATGGTGATGTCAGTACTGATGAGGCTGTAGAGTGTGTGAGAGATGTGAATGAAGTCAGAGGAGATCTGAAGCAGATAACAACAGGCTGTAGACCAATTGAGCAAAGAGAAAGAGACAGGAAAGATAAAGAAAATTATGAGTGTAAAGCTCACTGAAGGTGAAATTAGGAAGTGTGATGATCTTCATGTTATTAGAAGCTCATGCTGCTGGTACAGAGACAACCCACACAGAAGCTGTAACGTGGTGTGCATTAAACCAGAGCTGAAAGTAATAAACAACAGCCTAACAGGTCACAACAAAGCAGGATTCAAGGTCTCTGTGAGGCTCAAACTCACAGTTCCTTTGGTTCTGCTTATTAGAATCTGTAAACAGGTACTTATTGAATTTATTGAAAGTCACAGAAATGATTATGAAAACAACATCAAATAAGTTATTTCCAGGATTCCAAGATGAAACCACAGACCTTTAGACTGCAATAAAAAACAAATAGTCTGCACCAGAAAGATGTCTGTCTTAAAGGACAGACTTATATTTTTACACATATGTCTCAATACTATTGTATTGTTCACGTGTACATTTAAAGAGTTTTTGGTGTCTTTAGTCATTCCTTCTGTCCATACTGTTGTGAAGCAATCCCCTTATAACCTGACTCCAATGTCACAAGATGGATGACAAATTCCACTTCTGCTTCAGCAGTTTACAGTTATCAAGTCAGTATTTAGTGTCTGTCAGTGTTTCCTTAATAAGCTGCAGTGGAGGATAGTAACTCAAAGGCAGAGTTCTGATGAGTCTGAAGCTTCATAGTAGTTTCAGATAAACTTATGAAGTAATTTTGTAGTTGTTTTAGGAAGGGACCACTTCACACTCAGTATCTACAGGAGGAATGATTACTGCCACTAGAAACTCTTTAATGTACATATGGCTGTTTTTTTAAAGAGGTGGTATTATTCTCATTTTCAGGTTCAAAATCTTATTTAGGGGTTGGTTTCATTTTCAAAAAACACCATATTTTTCTCATACTGCACATCAGTGAGCTCCTTTTTTCACACTATGTGTTGTATGCTTCGCTCTTGAGCTACAGAGTGATGCATCTTTCTTGTACAAAATCTTTGTTGGAAGTTGCACACGCGCAGTTCCCAGGTAAGAACTACCAGCCAGAAGCAGAGAAGGGCGGGTCGTAAGAAACAAGGTAGTGTGATCCAAATCAAAGCCGCTTCAGACTGCGACTGTAACCTAGCAGATGGTATAAGTCACTTCATATGCATGGAAATGCTCTTGAAAAGTTACTGTAAATAAAGGTGAAGTGAGAAGCAACAATTTCCCATGTATTATCACAACTGACTCAATCTGGTAAAAAAAAGAGGCATTTCGGATTCAACTTTGCCACAAATAACCAGATGTGGGCGGTAAACAAACCCATTGTGTTTAGCCCAATTCACTTTCATAACTTGAACACTACTGGGCAGTTGCATTGACAT